GTTTAAGAGAATTTTATTTGAGCAAAATTTTATTATCTTTGAATAATTTTAAACATTTTGAATTAATGCTGTTGATTTCATTTATATAATAACATTTTAATAAACTTTTTATAACAGTTCTGAATTTATCAAGATAATTAGATTAATCATTTTTTGATAATGGTTCTGTATTATTATAATAAGGAAATTGATTATCTAATTCTCTCTATCTTCTCTTACAAAAGGAAATAGAATTAAATCATCAAATATTTAAAAGCCTTTGAATTTTTCTATTAATTACATAAATATACATACTTTTAAAAAAATTTTAAATATATTTTTATTAACTATTTTTTTCAGGATACAAATATCTGCTATTTATAGAATATTTTTTAAATAGACATATTTACCTTAAAATGTTACCTTAATTCATCATGGAAGTATGCTAAATTAGTATTTGTGTTAAATATCCATTATCTTTGGCATTAATTATGAAATCATTTTTTTAATAATAGAAAATAACATAATGCAATAATATTAGGAGAAATGTAGAATAAAAATTGATTTATTAGTAATAATAAAATATTTTAATTTATCATTAACAAATTTTATAATAAAAAATTAATAACATCAGACATTAAAATCTTAAGAGGATTTATTTATAAGATACATGATATGCTAATAATTATTAATACAGACAGTAATATTTGTAATGAATATAATAACAATATGAATATAAGTATAATTATAGCCACGTAATGATATAAGCTGTAACAGTATAATAGATTTTTTGCATATTTAAGTTTAACTGAGAAATTAGAAATAAATTAATAGTTTATTTTTATATAGTATAAAATATAATATATGAAATAATAAATCATTCTACAATAACAATAAGAAATAAATAAGTAAATGGAATTTTATTCAAAATAATTTAGGAATTTGAATAGATAAATAAATCAAGCAATTTATAAATAGCTTATTGCAAATTTAAATATATTTAATAAGATTAAGTTAATTAAAAATGAAATTATGAGTTGGATACAATCAATAAGCTTTTCAGATATTAAAATAGAAATCAAGAATTTATTGAATTAATTCAGTACTTAGGAAATCTTTATTTCAATTAATCAACTTAATTTATCACCTATTAGTAGATCATTAAAAAAAATCTTACAATTAAAATTTTGTTTGTAATATACTATCCAAGATTATTCAAAATTTAAAAATTGGTTATAATATAAATCAATTATTTTATGGGAATATTGGTCAAATATATTGAAACTAAACCAAAATGTGATTCAATATTTCCTTTAAACCTACTTTATATAATTTACCAGAGTTTGAGTTACAGAAAGTGGAAAAATAAAAAAAAAAAAGAAAGGAAATAAGATCCAATTTCAAATAGATGAATATCATAAATTTAAAGAAAAAATGTTTGCAGAAACAAAAAGTAAGAGAGAAAATAGTAGAAACTTTTCCTTAATAATAAATAATTAAATAAATTGTGTGGATTTTGGTAATTTAAATAATAAATCATAGTATATTGATATTGACTGACAATCAATTATATTATATATTAAATTCAGCATTTAAGGAAACTTTTTAAAAATTGATATTTGGATAACATTAAGAATCGAAAAGGAGAGAATAGTTTATCTTTTTAGAAGAGCAAAATGTAAAATATGAGAAAATTAATTTGAAAATGTAAAATATTTAAAAGTTCTCTATTCTCAGAATTTTTACTAAGACAGCAATTAGTATTAAATGTTATTAATTTATAAGGAAATTTGAACATTAATTATTTAAAATTGGCATTTAGTAAAGTATAAGATTAATCTATGTTTTATTAATAAAATTAATTAATATTAATTTTTGGGTTTATTCTTCTCTCACATTTATTCATTTCGCTGTTTTTCTAATATCTACTCAAATATCTTTCTCACAGATTATTACTAAGTAAAAAAGTGATTAATAAATTGTGATTACAAATTTCTGTGTTATCAGATCATCTATATTCCTATTGTCAGAACTTTCATGAATATAGAAATTTTTAATCTTGCCTAAATCTTATTTAAAGTAGAATAAAACAAATACATCACATTTTTAGTTCATTGATGACATATAATTCATATAAAGATTTATAATAATTAACAAAAATTATTAAGAAGGGTCAATATATATAAGGACAAAAGATATTTATATTTAATGAAAGATTTAGAAATTTACAGTTATTAGATTGAATAAAATTTTGATTCTGTAAATGAAAAATGGAAGACATCCTTTAATATTCTTATTATTGAAAAAAATCAAATATATTGTATCTCCTTCTTCTAGTAACATTGAATATTGAATAAGTTTGTATTTGATCATACCCTATATCCCTTTATATATTACAACAAAATACAAGGCAACATATGTTTAAAATCAGTAAACTTATGTGAAAGTTATTTTGATACTATTATATATCAATTTCTAATTCAATATAATGAATCGTTTATTTTTTGTAACAGCACATTTAATTTATTATTGCTAATATTTTTATTTGGAGCAAATTTGCTAAATAATATCAATAGCTATTGATTACACTTAAATTCATTTTAATTTGTGAATTAAAGAAGTCATTTTTGCAATTAAGAGCCTTTTAGAAAAATATTTGATCGTTCAAAGTAATTCATTACCTAACACTTACTTAATGGAATATATTACATACATGAGAAATTGATTACCAAAATTTAAAGACATAGGTGCTCAAATATAATTCTATATCGAACTTATGAAAATCAGAATAGAATTAGAACATATGGAATTAGGCATAAGATAAAGGAATATTGAAAGACATGTGTTTTAAATACATCCACATGTACCTCATATGATATATTATAAATTTATAGAACCTTGAAGATGATTTAGAACTAAAATATAGAAGAAAAAGAACATTGATAGGATTAAGAATATCGACAGTAAAATAATAGTTACAAAACTGGGGTGGTGGATGTGATTGCATCAAATAGATGTATTTCGAAGATTTATTATTTTTGGTGAAGATTTCGAATTACATATTTATTGGTTATCATCTTAATAAATTCATTATTTGTAATTAATAATTTAGTAATTTCTTTCATATAATCAGTTTTCCTTCATTCACCTGAACTTTTTCATTTTCAAATGATTTTATATTTTAATAAATTGTTAATCAAGTCTTCGTTTAATACGATCCTTCACAATTTTTGAAAAAATAAAGTAATAACTCTAAATCTTAAGAAAATAAAGATTTATTAGATAGATATGATCTATTACTATGTATGATTGATTTATCAGAATATGATTTGGTGAATGGTATTATGTATTTCCATTCTTCAATAAATAGTCATCATTATTCTGAATTCAATTGTAATTTTAAGAAGTTAATAATAATAATAATAATAATGTGGACATAATAATAAATCCTCAATTTAAAAACAGGTTTGAGTTCCTGTTCTTCTATTTCAGGGTAGAAGATCCTTAATCCATTTTTTCTTCTTTTTCCTCTATTTTGAACTATGATTAAGTCTTAAATTTAAAGACTTATAACAATTTGGTGCACAATTAATTATAAACAATGGGTTTGGGTTTGGGGTT